ATATTCTCTTTAAGATTTTCCGGTTTGCGTTCCCCATTTACCGATTCACTCCCGACGACATGGGGTACCAGCCCAACCTGCATGACTACTTGGTGTTTCCCCNCAAGGGAATGGTACTCGTGCATTTCTTCAATCAGAAGTCGAAGCGGTTTAAGAACAAGGGGATCATGCGGTTTCTTCCGGAAGAAGTGTCGCATATTCTCTTTAAGATTTTCCGGTTTGCGTTCCCCATTTACCGATTCACTCCCGACGACATGGGGTACCAGCCCAACCTGCATGACTACTTGGTGTTTCCCCAGAATAGGACTTGGGTCCCCAGTTGTCTCAAGGAGATGTGGCTGCGTTATTTTGGCATCGAGGATGCGTCGCTCCAGAACTTCCGACACATTATGAGTGCCCTCTTTTGCATGTTGAAGCTCAACGTGGCCGAGTTTGCTGATGTTGGTGATGACATTGATAATGAGGACTACGACGGTGACAACGACCCGCTTGCGGCGGACGTTGACCTTCTCACTTTGTTCCGTGATCAATTTGGACACACGGGTCAAACTGCCAACGAGTTTTACGGGGCAGGGGCTTATACCATCTCCACTTTGAGTGAAATCGAGATAGCCGTTCGCCACAAAACCTGTGTGAAGATACAGCGGTTGATGGGGTTTGCCCCGCCCGAAAAGCAGTATTCGACGGCTGGTGCTATTCGGTTGGGAGAATTGGAACAAGCCAACGCCGTGATGAACGCCGACTACGACAAATTGTTTCTGGAGCACTTCCCCGCCTACCGTAACACCCAGAAGTTGCTTATCGAAGCCACCACGAAAAAGTCTACCACCAGGTCCATTGTGCTCGGCATTGTACCCACTGGTGGTGGCAAGACTGCGTCGTTTTGCATTCCCGCGAGCTGGATTTCGGCCAATGTCACAATCGTCCTAGTCCCCACGGTGGCGCTTGAAATCTCCATGGTTGACGACATTAATCGGACGTACACACACGTCAACGCCTACAGATACCGCGACTTTCAAGGGCTGGTGCCCGCCTTGGGAGCCAGGACGATTCTTGTGATGACCTATGAGCTGTTCCACGGCGCAACGAACAAATTAAAGAAACTTACAGTCCTGCGGTTGGTGGTCGATGAAGCACATTACATCCAGCAGACCAGTGCCGACTTCCGTCCCACTGTCAAGAGTGCCTTGCAGCTGG